TTTTTTTTTTTTTTTTTTTTTTTTTTTTTTTTTTTTTTTTTTTTTTTTTTTTTACATTAATAGAATATCGTGCTAATTTCATAGATCCATTTTCTGACCTTAATTGATTAATTTATATATACAATGATTCTTCAAGACAATATTTTTAGGTGCAAATTTTTGTTTGCGTTGTTATAATTGTGCATTGAAAAAGATCTTTTATTTAATACAAAAATTAATTTGATTTATCATTTTTTTATTGAATAAATATTTACCGTAAGTAAATGTTTAGTATTATTTAAAGAAATATGTATTAAGATTTAGTAAATTTTTGTCAGTGTGTTATTGTTTCTATGTTGTTTTAGTTGTGTATCGTTATTTTACCTAATAGATAATTATTGCAATTGATATTGAAAAATAATAAAGATATATAGGTACAAATATAGATCTTATCAAGATGTTTACGTTTTATGAATGCAGTGTTGCGTAGAAATATAACGTGTAAGTCACTTGATAGATACAATCATGAATGGATTAGAGATGCATGTAGTTTTATCGAGAGATTGAAGATAATAGCGTAGAAGAGCAAAACCAAAGAGGAGAGCAAAAATTCTCGGTACTGAGCAATGATGTCACAGCCAGACGATAGCCCTGAGAGAACGTTTACCCCGTGGCTCGAAAATAGGTTTATACGCCTATGTATAGCACTTCGTTAAATGTATTTAAACGTCGTACTGCAACGTTTAAACACTTTGCAGTTTGTGATGGTAGTGTACAAGCTGCTCAATGGAAAATTAAATTTAGCAATGTTCACCTAGATATTCTCTTTAGATTCGAGATATAAATGTTATATATTATGGGATATTAAAATCGACACGTTAAAGATATAGTATTATCGTTGGCGTTACTCAGTGATTTGTGTTATGACTTCCACTATAATTACTATGCAGTCGCCTTTCGCGTGCGTTTAGCAGATACTAAATTACAATTACGTTCGATTAGAAATTCGCTGGTGGATTAATTGAATTGTGCATTTTCTTGATTAACAGAAACCTGCATTCTGTCTACGTATTGTATTACTAAAGTTATAATCACAAGTGCACTTGCGTCTGGCGAGACTCGCATATTAACGAATGAGAAGAAACACAGCAGCGATTCTCCGTCTTCAAGAGGATGGAGTTCGTCTCCCTCTGGATCGATATGTTTGCATCACGCGAGCTGTCAACATTGCATGAGAGACACGATCTCTTAGGCCTACTCCTCTATTTTCATACTCTGTCCATTTATATCGTAGTTGTTGATCAGAAACAGTAATTTATTTTTGTTAAATGAGTTACTAGATTTTATTCAAAAGAATAATTGATATCTGATATCTTTTTTTCTCTGTTTTGACGTTGAGTCTTTTTTCGTTGGATTATCATCCAAGGAAAATACTGAACAATATAAATAAAGAATATTGTGTATAACAATACAAAAATGAAATCATCACAAATTTACGACAACAAACAATATTTCTTTGCAGTGTCATGACTTATAATTACATTATATAATCATGACCCTTGAAAGCACAACCTTTAAATAATAATAAATCAACATATGCTGTTCAGAAATATAAGCATTATCGTGAGAAATGGAGTAGAAAACTTTGCTCTACCCTATTTAACTCATGTATCTTATATACTTATCTTAAATATTTATTTTGTATACTTATATTTAACAAAACAAAAATTATTATATTATATAATAAAAATAAGATATTTTTTGAATGACATAATCCCGTTTTTCAAACGCGAAGAATGCGAGAGCAAATTGCGCCAATGCGCTTCTATTATTAACCTGCTTTTTCGCCATAGTTGGAAGTGTTAATTAATATACCATAATGGAGTTCCATATAAACGCTTTCTGTGCTCGCTAAATTAACCGGTAGACCTCGATCGCCTTGATGCACCGACCGCTTCACGCGAAAGCGACGACGCGATCCCACCGAAGGAGGACAATCATTGCCACCGCGGCTATAATCGGCCGATATGCGCCATAAATTCAAACAACGTACGTGTTCTTCTTTTGCAGGTTGTCCAGAATGGTTTAGAGATCCTCACGTATCTCGCAGATCGGATGGGTCATGACTTCAAACCTTACATCTCCACCATCATCCAGCCGACGATAGACAGGCTAGGTGAGTACGGGGCGTATTTGTTCCATCCGTTTGTCTCGTAAATCGTCTTCGGGGAAGAATCGACTAACACGATACGCGATATCGAAAATTTCTATTATTATTTACGACGATCGATAATTCTACAAAGGACTCACGATGGTCGATAATTGGCATCAATAGAAGCTCATGTATATTTCGGTTTGTAAATATCCCGTATATTCGCGATGTAAAGATAGTCGGGGATAATTTTAACATCAGGCATTAATTAGAAAGTTATACCATCCCTATAGACCTGTATCTCGAAAGTGTGATGAGTTTCACGAACATTTCGCCGCGTATTGGGTGAATCATCGTTAATCACTAAATGAGTTTCAAATAGAACGATCCAGAGTGACGTTTAAATGCCTCTAATGAGGTTGAAAAAAAAAGTCTATGACAGATGTATACACCATATTTGTCGAGAACCGGTCCGCCGATTGCTTTCAGTTGTCCCGCGAAGCCGACATCAAGAATAATCGCATGCACACGTGCGAAGATATTCGATCCCAATTTCACGTGTATACAAATCGACAATTAAATTCGCATTTGACACAGGTGACAGTAAAGATGCTACCAGGGAGAAGGCGCAACTGGTGCTCCTGAAAATTATGGAAAAGGGATGCATGTCGCCTCAGAATCTTCTGGATAGACTTCGTCCAGCCTTCAATCATAAGAATGCAAAATTACGAGAAGAGGCCCTGATTCTGTTGACAACTACGTTGAATGAGTGAGTGTTTACTTGAAATAAATTATATTTACGAAAAGAAATTGTTTTTTTTTTAATGGAATTTGAATTTTTCCAGACATGGAGCAGATGAGATGGCACTATCGGGGGTAATTCCGAGTATCGTAAAGCTGTTGTCGGATCCGTCGGAAAAGGTTCGGGAAACTGCTCTGAACACGCTGGCGGACATCTATCGACACGTAGGCGAGAGATTACGCGTCGATTTGCAAAGAAAACACAATGTGCCGCAAGCCAAGTAAGTGAAATGGACGGAGAAAGCGATTGTCTTTCGGCTTTCGGTCTGCATAGAATTTCACGATCTCTTGATCGTGATTCAGTCATTCAAGAAATGTTTCTCTTCCTCGTTAAAAATTAACTGATCAGTGCGATGCGTTATAATGAAAATCTTTAATCGCAACGTTATATAAATCCGTTGTCCATTCTGCTTACAGAATGCTCCTGCTAATAGAGAAGTTTGATCAACTGAAGGCCGCTGGTGATCTTTTACCCTTGGCAATGTCGTCCGACGGTGAGTAGACTGATTGAATTCTCTGGCGCTGCGGGGTACCACTTAATTTAAGCTCGCCGCCGACAAGGACGACGACGGTGATGATGACGACAACGAAAAGTAAGGCGCGAGTGTACCACGCGGCGCATATCGCTATTCAATATGCGCACGAAGGCTTGTATCGTGCTGCCATCGTGCAGCTCTAGAGTTTAACACGCGGCGATCCTGCCTTAGCATGCAGGAAGACTCCTCCATTTGTCTGCTCGCCCCGCCTCGTCCTCCTCGCAGCTTAGCATTACACGTATACATCATGAATATTTACCGAAGACCGCGTGTTCCTCGATGTGATGGGAATATACTACTTCTACGATTTCATGTACTTCGCAACCGACTTCGATTTAATGACATGTCGATATCTTGGTCCGATCGGAATTTTACTTCCACATTTCCGGCGAAGGAAGAACGAACAACATTGATGATATTGAAATAACGATATTGGAGAAGGAAGTTGCTCGCCGTTCCGTTGCATAAAATTTCGTTTCCTTGAACGGTGATACAATGAGGTCGCTGATTCGCGTTATCTGCTCACCGCCGGGGAAATTACATAATATTGCATTCAGAGCGATAGAATCGCGTGTGATATATCGTACCGGTGTATTGTTTCAAGCGCCGTACCACGCCTGTAATCCATACCGAAGCTGAAGCTATCCTGCTTCGAAACGAACGGCCTTGCAATGGACGCTGCGACTGCTCGGCTTGTCGGCGTTCGAATTTCGATTGCAAATATTACGTGTCGCACTCGCAATTGACACTTTCGCTTCTCGATTGAGGAAATAATCCGCCGTCGAGATCGATGATGAGAGCTAAAGTTCGCCCGGCGACAATTTCGTCGTTGCATTCCGCTTACGCAATCGATCGCAACATAAAATGTTTGTGGCTGCTTGAGGAGGAACTTCCTTGAGTACACGATTGCAACACTCCACAAATTTCATTCTCGCGTCTATATCTTTCCCAAGGTTCATCGGAGTTCTGCGACATTTCTCGTTCGAATGCCATACGATTATTAGTTTCTGTCATTAATTGCTGCGTTATTCACGGTAATTCCGTGAAAGGCCAGACGGTTCTCATCGTTCAGCAAGATTATTTATCGTCTAATATAAATTATTCTTACAAATCAAAGTAATTAAACATTCCACAGTCGCGAAATAAATGATAGGAAAATTGACTAAATAATTACTGACAATTAATGCCAGGCTATTTATCATTCTGGTGAAAGTAGCAATTAGAATCGATGGCACATATTGATGTGGCATGTTTATGAATTATACACTTTCGTTATCCAGTGAATTTTAAGTAGATTCCATGAAATTTTTTTCACTCTTTCCTTTCTTTTTTCTCTCTCACGCAAATCTATGATCGAAGATGCGCGCAATTCTGTTTTCTTTGCTACACCCTGCGCATATACGATCACGATTAGATCATACCTGGGCTTGGCAAGGAGAAGCCACGGCGCTTCGCTTGATTTCAGAGATATTAATAGAACTCAAAATAGCCGTGAAGCGCTAATGATGATCTTCCGCGAAGCCTCCGACCATCCCCTTCATGAACATTCGAACTTCCGGTCGTCCGGCAAAGTCTGAGGGATCAGTCTCAAGCGTTATTAGAGCAACACGTTCTGCACACTGATTACATATCTATGAATATTTCAGCCTCCTGTTAAGTTACGCTCTATAGCGGATTACAGAATCTTAGCGTTACTATGTCGAATACCATGTACATCTAGCATGCCTCGTATATTAACTTGGAACCATATAATTTAATCGAGCTTGCAGCGTGAAGAAAATTCAATTTACTCTCGTAATTAAAATAATTCTGAGAAATCAATCTTTGATCTGCCGTGTTATACAGTCAGTTATCGATGTCTATCTGCTTTATTCATTCATGCATAAATGCGAACAACACTTTGCGTACATTCAATATTTTCTATCTTTTTATTATTTATGCATACTTCACGGTCATGACGTAACCACGCTCGTGACACTCATGTTTTGACGACCAAATTCTTGTTCGTCGAATACAAATAAGAGAATCGTAGGACAAACATTTTTTTTCGTAGTTCACCGCAATAAAATTTCTGTGACAAACACATCAATTGCATCAATTAAGAGAAATAAACTTATTTTTGGTCAAAGCGAATCTTCGGTCGGTATTCATAGTCTGTTCTTATTTTAAGACCATCTTAAAATGTTAATACAGCTCTCTGATTGGTTTATAACATCTTAAGACTTAAGACTATCTTAAATATAAGATCCGAACTATGAATACCGGCGTAAGTGCTCAAATATTTCACACAGATTGAATTTATATACATAAATTTGGCACATAGAAATCTTTTTGATTTTAAAACACAATCGTGACTAGAACGAGAATAATAAATTGATAAGCAATTTAATAATGTTGATGCTAATAAGATTGGAATCGTCATCGCGGTATCCTCAAAGCGACGCAGAAAGGTTATGCGCGCCCGGCGAGCGAATAAAAATTTGCATAAGTCTCGTTTTCACTCTCTCTTTCTTCGTGACCCCGTGCAATGCGATTGTGTTAGAAGTTCGCGTTAAGGCACGATTACACCATGCTCTTTTCGAAACACGTTCCTCTTGAGTCGTTTTTCGTAACAGAAAAGATGTAGATTAAATCGATGGAAGTCAACGATAGAGATGAGTGTGG